TATCAGTTGGACTTCTGTTTACTTTAGTTGTAAGTATCTTTCCGTAAGTTAAAAAATTTGTTTGACGGTAACCTTGCGCTAATTGAGATTACGCTTAATATGAGGCTTAATGCTGTAGAAAATTGATGCGTATTACACATACACAAATAGAGCGCAAGTAAAAAATACCAAACGTCAGCAGTAGACAGGTTACTGGCAAGATAACCCTCATATTCGGGCCACTTAGATACAAAATTCATTAGAATGAGGCTGTTCTCATCTGAAGAAATTTTAATATCGGTGAGTTTTAGTTTTTTTTAACACGAGGATGAAAAATAGAAGATATGTATTAATTTCTTATGCTTCAAAGGACTCTCAACGCTCCTACGTGTCGTGACTAATGTTGAGCTCCTCAACTCTCCTTTGATATATAATGTTTTTACTTTAACAGCAAATAAGGCGTGGCTTAAAGATAGTGAGACGGATGCATGTTTTTACACTGCTTAGCACTTTCAACCCAGTGGTAGCAGCGCATTTTCTATTTTTTTTTACTTTCCATTGGGCGCGCGTACACTGGCCCTGCGACGTACGCCAAGCCTTCTAACTTCCTCGTTTTGCTTATACTTATTGTGTCTAGATGAATTTTTTTAGTCTTTCTTCTATTTGGTCACAAAAAACTTCACGAACTGTCTGGCCACTCTAACACCTTTCGACCACCGCTAGAAGCAGCCTTCCGGTTGTTTGTCCTTCTCGCGTAGGTTCAAATAGCGCACCACCCAATGCACTCAAAATTTCTCAAATTCTTGCCAACCCACAAAAGCGTTTCAGGCACTGGCGCGAGCTACACCGTTAATGTATGCCCCATTCACATAATGAACTGAGAGGCTGGAAAGTGCGGATGCACAGACGAGGCGAAAATACAGCTCAAAGTAACCGAGGAAGAGTCTCGAGGAGGACTACAACGTCAATTTTATGTCCTTGCGCTCGCGATAACATTATTGTCAAGAGCCAGAACTATCACGACAATGGACGTTACCATGCAAGTCTCTACTGCGAAGTTCGAACAGAGACGCGGTAAGGGCTTATGAAATTCCCTGAGAGAGCACAAACCAGGCCGCCATGGGGCCTGTCATGCGGTGAAAATGTTGCGGTTGAAGTACCAGTTCCGATAAAGATCTAACGCTTGTGCGTCGCGGTGATGATGAAGGCACCGTAGAAAGGACTGCCTACGCAAACACGCACCATGCATATTTGCTTTAAAGAAAAGAGAAGAGGAAAAACATAAAAGAAGGGAGAGACTCATAAAAAGAAGATATATTTAAGAAAAGGCCGCCCCTTGTTTTAGTGTATCCGCCATGACAAAGTCTGACGGAATGCGTCGAGTTGCGAGGCCACGAGTCGCGCGTCAAGCCCAAGTCGACTGAGGCAAAAGCTTTGTCGTGATCTTGCTGTTGTTCCTGTGTTCGCAGCGATAACGCGTGAAGGTTCAAAGGTAGTGGGCGGCAAACGATATATTTTTTATATTTGACGTGTGATGGAGGTTTCGATAGTTGATGCTTCAAAAAAAGTGGTGTGCCCATGGAAATTGTACGATACTGTAAAATTCTAAATGCGACATAATGGTACGGCCAAGCGATGATCATGTAATGTCGTACTTTGAAGGGGCGTCGCTGATTGTATCTGGAAGGGGCAATAGTGTGAAGGCTAAGAAAAGAAAAAGGTAGTTTTGGCTCACGAAAAGTCGGAGTAGTTCAACGGGGCGCGTCCGGTGAAGAAGACACATGAAACCTGTCTAGAATGTGTATGAGAACGGTACATTTGTATACAAAAACTTTGTGGCGAGGATAAGAGAGAAAAACCGAGGTTATCAGTTGAAGGCTGGCGAAGATATTAAGCTTAAAGAGATGAATGCAGATCACGACCAAGGTCAACTCGGTTTGCATTATTTTCCATGAAGCATCTGCAGCATAGTGACTATACGCCGTGTTCATTTGACGTAAAGAAAATGGGACCTTAACGACGAAATAAGTGCTCGAACGCGTAAGGAACTTTCCATGAAAACCTATCACCTGTGTGAAGGTAATGTACAATTTAAACTCCGGTACAGTTTTTTTTTTTAACTATACTAACGTCACGCGTTCACTTAGGTACGATTTTAATAGCACTGCCTAAAACGACAAACGGTCTACAATGCGTAATCAGAGAGGCAATCAAAAAGACAAACAGATTTGTTCTAATGTTCAGCTAACTATGAATCGACGTTCATCTCATTAATTGTAACAAAGAGGCGTCACACCTCTAATCGAGCCGAACGCTGAGAACGATCAAACGTTAATGGGTAATACTGTTTCGCAGTATTAACTCAAACCGATTTAGCCTTTTGCACGAATTTCGCAAAGTACTGTTGAAACATAGATAAAAATCGAGAAAATTACAGATTTAAGCACTTTGACACCAAGCCCTTTCGCTTCGACGTACCGCACACACGTACACTTCCTCTAACCCATTATGGGATTTAGTGCCTAGCTTCAATGCAAGCAGACAAGTTCGAGCATTGAGAACGTGGTTACGCAGGCAGACCCTTTAGCCTACAGATGATGGTTTTGCTGCACTGATACCCCATCGTCCATTCCTTTTTTCCCACATTCACACTATTCCTGATTTTTCTCAGGATGCCGGCACTCATTGGTGTTAATGAACGCTTCTGGATCGGCATTACAGATCTACTTCTAGAATGCCACCGACTGCTCATCATCTTCTCAGCCAAGACCTCTTTGTGAAGACAGCTGCAGGAGCTGGCCGTGCTTCGTGGCTGCCCATTTGTCCGTAGACAGTCCCACGTCCCACGCGGCTGCTGTATGCTTTTAGTCTGGTACTCATCCTTGGTAGAGGAATATGCACTGGGAAACCTCACTGAGGTAACTCTGCGCAATAAACAAACACAAGGACGCGAGCGAGCGAGCGAGAGAGGAAGTGAAAAAGTTAAAATGCGCGATGGCCATGTTGGTATTGTCACCAGATAACTACAGTTAACTATCGTTCACGGGTTCCGTTGTAAAAATGCATTTAAAATCTCGAAGTAGATGGAAACGTCGATTAATGGCCTAGTCAAAATGATCGTAGAGGAATGGTTCTGACAGGTCACTAATAGAATGAAATTCGTGATGTTGATGATCTCAAGTCAAAATCAGCCTATTGATTGCACGGTCGCAGATAACGTACGTATACTCAGTGTCTTGTAATTTATCGAAGAGAACCAATTACCTAGAATTGTTGGGATTCTTGACAAAATGAATCATCGTGTATAGATATATTGTATATAGACCTCAATTGCACACACAAAAACCGACATATCCATTCTACTTTTTTTTTTTGCAAAAAAGCATAAAAGGACTCCTCCTAGGGTTACATGTAAACGGCGGATAGATGACTTTCTTGAGCAACGATTTTGACAGCAACTCAGTATTTGCGAGGTATATAAAAGTGAGAGCTGTTCAGTTTTTCTCTTTGCCATTCGATACTTCCTGCCTTGGCAGTACCTGGCTGTTTTCTAGCGGGGCTAATATTCGGTTAGTTTTGCCTTGGAAAACGAGAGAACCTGCAGCCTTGATAATAGCGTAACTGGTAATTAATGAGATAGCCGAAGTAAAGTAACACAGGGACGCATGCGAAGCGAATGTATGAACAAAGAGAATCAAAAGAAACAGGGCATATGCTCCAAAGACAACGAAGTGACTAGAACACTTAAATGGAGCATCTAAATAACAGAGATTACTATAAAAAAGCAAATCAAGGTAAAGAAATCACTGAAACAATAAAATTGTATAACTGAAATTGGGTACCACGGGAATTGTAGCAAGTTACTAAATGGTTAGAACAATGTAGTAAGTTTACTCAGTACAAAATGATTGAAAAGCTGCAACGAAACAGCTGTGCCAGGAAAACAAGGGAGGTTGGCAACGGTCTTACAGGACGGTTGTACTGGACATGAATTCGAGTCAATTAGTCATTCGCGCCCGATTTGGATAATAATATTAACGTTTTTAAACCTATTTTTGTCAATGTGGATATGTCTTCTAATGGTCAGTGTTTTCAGCTCATCTACTTATTTGTTATTGCGGTAGTTTTCGATAGTACCTTCAGTGAACCTCACATTAAATAGATTTTGCAGTCGAAAAAATAAAGATTTATTTGTTTAGGTCGAAAGGTGTTAAATACTCCCAAAGCAATCAGTGTTAAGAAGGTATACCAGGAACTTATTCATCTTTACAATAATTAGCAGTAAATTAGCATGGAGCAAGGTCCAGCATATTACTTCGCACTGCTGTTTAAATAACATTTATTAGGTCTCCCATTCATTTCTTCTTCGTGTCTTCTGAGTGAATATGGATCTAAGGGCTAGTATGTCATCTATTTAGTATTTTTGTAATTATATTTAGTAATACTTTTAAATTTGGGCTTACTACTTTTTCGTTATCTTCATTACGTGCCTGTTCAGATAATAAAAAAAATGTTTTTGGCTGATATTGCTGAAAATGTATGCTGAAACTACTCGAAAAATAATAGTTAAAATCCATGAGTTGTACATACTCACATAACGAAAACATCTTTTCTTTTGTTTGAACAATTCGTAAGGCAAATACAAGTCTACGTACGTAATACGTAATCTAATTCTTTCCAGGCTTATTTCGTTTTTAGTGTCGATGGAACTTCTAGGTATTACGTGATTCCTGGAAATAACTTCTTTCGAGTTTCACGTCTAGTATTGCTATTAAGCATTGCTTCAGAAGTCTGGTTTTCAAAGGGCACATACAAGTACATGATTCATGTAAATTAAGCGTATGCATCAAGGTTGAACCCCCCAGAAATATCCGCTCACTGTTAATAAAGAGACGCGTGTATTTCATCGCAAATATATATA